AGAAATACTATATACAATAACAATGTACAATGCAATGTAGGCTGTTCTGTACATGAATAAATAAAAATGAATGTAAAATTTTATTGACTAAAGGGTTAATTGTGTGAAGGTGAGCTGCCAGAATTAGTATTTATAAATTTGGAAGTGTGTGCTTAAGTCCTTTCACAAAACCATTTGTTATAAACACAATCGATGTCTGGGAAATCGTGCTTGGATATTTATCATTAGAGCTGATTAGTGAATCAGTTTGTGTTGAGTGCTGTGTTTTAAAAAAATATATTATTCTATCCTTTCTAGGTGAAGTTTGTAGATGAGACAAGGGTGATGAATGTCAATAAAAGGGACTTCTTCCTCCATGTGTTTGATGAGCTCATGACTCCCGAGTCTGAAATGTTCATGTACAACGAGAGCAAGACTCTGGCCTGGTTCCCTCCCAGGGTAAGACCAGTTCACTGAAGAGAAAATCACTTGTTAAGATTTTGCACATTCTAATCCTTTGGCCAAAGACAGTCCAAAGGGTAATTGTAACCTTGAACCTTTAACTCTTTGTACACCTTGAGTCATTTTTTATCATCGTCTTATGTAAACTTGGACGCTTATTGAATGTTACTAAATCGTGATTTGATTTTTTGAATTTTATTCACCAACCAAACAGTCAAAAGTGGAGGAGAACCGTTACTTCCTGTTCGGCGTTCTGTGTGGCCTGGCTCTTTACAACCACAACATTGTCCACCTGCCCTTCCCACTGGTTCTCTTCAAGAAGCTGGTCAGGGTCAAACCCTCAATGGATGACATGAAGGAGTATGACCCTGTAATGGCAGAGTAAGATGCTTTTAAAAATCCAAAACTGAATGGTTTTCTTTAGAAAGCAGGAAAAATTTAAAAAGAAATTATTTAACATTACATTTACAATTTATTCTTCTATTTAACCAGATATTTTATTCCATGCAAAACTCAAAATAATGATTAAAACAAGTAAACTGTATTAATGAATTCATCTTCTCCGATGTTTACTGTGTCTTCAGGTCTTGGCGGTGCATGTTGGAGGATTACACTCCTGATCAAGTCAAAGAACTGGACACTCCTTTCAATGTAGGTTGACTGCCAATGTTATTTCATGCTTTGACTGCAATATTCCAGTCTAAATGTAATTATTATTCAAATACAGGTGACCTGGGGCGGTGAGAATGTTGAGCTGGATCCGAAAGAAGCTGGAAAACTTGTCACAGGCTCAAACAGGTGTGTTTATCCAGAATTACTATATCTAACAATCTGGACAGATTGCATAGAAATTACACCATTACATTACTCGAGGTGGGATACTATATGTAAAGATTTACATGTAGTTGGACTTACTTTTGGACTATCTAATGAAAGTTAGAATATAATTGTACTGTGTATAAAACTAGAAAAAAAAAAACTTATGGTAAACATCTCCACAAATTCAGTATATGCCCAACATCACTGCATAATACAAATATCAATAAAAACACTTTATACAACTTCTGTGGACAGTGTCAGCACTTAATGTTGTGTTTTCATTTTTCTCTCTATTCATAGGAAAGAGTACGTAGCTGCTTTTATCAACCACGCCTTCAACAAGTCAGTGGAGAGTGTGTTTGAAGCGTTCAAGAGAGGGTTTTTCAAAGTGTGTGACATGAACGTGGTGGACTTCTTCCAGCCGGAGGAGTTGCAAGCAGTGATGGTGGGCCAAGAAACCTACGACTGGGAGGTGTTCAAGCAGGTCTGTTGAAAAATTCAAGGAGGTAATATAAGACTCGTAAGACTTGTAAGTCAGCTGTCAAATAGCAACCAATTCAATGCAAGAAATCCCAGATGCCAAATTTCCCTTGATCAGTTTCACAATGTAGGTCTTTTTGTTTTGCTTGCAGGTTTGTAAACAGAAGAGCTCGCATTGTAATTCTAGTTTCAGAGTTTCCTCAGTCAACAAACCAAGACAGAAGTGATTTTAAAATAGTTGCTCTCCACAACAGCATTAACACACAATTTAGCTTTGAAAGAAAAATAAGGCTGACTTAATGGTCATTATAATGGATTGCACATCTATAGCACGTGTCAAATCTTTATGAACTAACATGACCTGAAGTCAGTGGCTGAGTCTTTAAATAAGAGCCCTTGTTGGATTTCTATTTAGAAGTGGTTATTTTTATTGTTCCAAACAGAACACAGTTTATGAAGGAGACTACCACGCCGGGCATCCAAACATCATTACCTTTTGGGAGGTGTTTGAGAATCTGACAGCAGAGGAAAAGAAAAAATTCTTTTGTAAGTATTATACATAATTGTGCTTATTATCATTTAACAACTCTGACACGTTCAGACTAAATGAAGAGCAGAGAGAAAAATTTAAACTGTGGTATCCTCTGGAGTTCTCTTGAAGATACTCACATTTATAGCTTTACCAGATCATTCACCATTATCTCTTAATTAATGTTCTTGTCTCCAGTGTTCCTCACAGGCTGTGACCGTGTGCCCTTCCTGGGAATGAAGATCATCAGGATGACAGTCGCTGTCTTGCCCAATGCCACAGAACTCCATTTGCCAGAATCCCTGACCTGTCATTGTCTGTTATTACTGCCCATGTACCAGAGGTACCCAGTGGACAGGACAATGCAGACCAGGCTTCGTCAGGCTATAAATCACAACAGAGGCTTCTGGAAGAAAGACAACACTAGATGCTGAAGTGACAGTGGCTTCTTTAAAAAAAAAAAAAAAAAACAGTAACTCACCTTCAATTAGTTTGGGGCTTTTTTGTCACTACACGCTGATTTTTTAGTGTCATCAAGTAAGTTGTAACTTGGGAGCCTTTGTAATATTATTAACACATGAAGGGACTTAATAGAAGTAGCCCAGCAGTAGAGTCATTCAGTCGTATGAAATACTAGTCAAAATATAATGTAGCTGTTATTATAATCCTACCTGTATTTGTTTTGTTTTTTTGTTTTTTCATTTTTCTTGTTGATGGTTGATGCCACTTGCATGTCAAATGTTCAAGCCTTATTTACAGCTTTCTGTTGTGGAGTCTAGAGTCATGTAACTATTACATAGAGTTAGGATACTAACTACCGAGATCATGGGAAGGAGGGTGGATATTGGGCCAAAACCAAAAGTAAAGTTAGCAGTTATTCAAGCACTGCCACTGCTTTCAGTCGCCATTGTAACTCACTATTAGCATTATGTACGCTCTAAATCTTAAGCAAAAATGTTGTGTGTGTCATTAAAAAATGATTACAGAATGTAAACAAATCAGCAAATCTTCTTTTCCTGCCATGTGTGCCTTGATAACCAAACAATGCACACACTTTCTTGAACTTTATTCTCAATTGAACAAAATTTTAAAAATGTGTTTAAATGTTCTTTTGTAAAGTGCAGGATTAAAAGATAAAACACAGGCCACCACATCAAGACATAATCTTCTAATACCAAACAGGGCCTGGTTATTTCCTGAAATATTTAATTTCTTACTTTTTTTTACCTCCATAATTGTTTAATAATTTACTGCAATACAAATTTAGCTGCAACAGTTTGTGTTAAAAAAAAAAAAAAAAATCCTATCTGTGATAAACAATTATGAGCACACAGAACTCAACTCACACTTAAGCGCCTCCGTCAGTCACTTTATTTATCAGTGATCATATCAATTCAGTGGCTGTATGCCTTCTGCACATTGACAGTCAGGGCTGGGATTAATTCATCATTAATTATTTAAAAAAAATGTATTTCATAAATAGAATTAGTAATTCTTAATGAGAATTCCTAATGCGCTGAACTTCACAATTCCTATTTAAATGAGCACTTGCTAAAACATTTGGAATTTTTTTTTTTTTATTGGCACATCAGTAAACTGAGAAAAGCATTTAGCGTTCATCAAGAATCATATGTTTCATTTGAGAAGAATGACAAAAAAATATCCTGAATTTTGAATAGTTTCCTGAATTCATTTAAATGAATGTGAATCCTACCTTGGTTTGAGTGAACATAGGCGACATAAAAGCACAAACAGCACGTTTCATGGTGACACTAGATGATTCACAAGTACATGAAAGCACAAAGCGCATTAAAATTATTTCAAGTATCTCAAGGAGGCTAAAACAATTTTCACAGAACAGACCATCTCATCTCTTCCCTTTCTTTATTTCATATGACTTTCAATATGAAAAGCAGTAAATAATTTACTTGTTTTTTAAAAGGATATCAAAACCGTCTCATCGTGAGGTCTACGCCTTAATGTCACTGTAGCTTTTGATATTTCTATCCAAGAGTGTTCAGGCAGCAAAGCTCATACAAAAAGATGAAACATAAAATGGAGGTGACACTACTCCCTCACTTACAGACCAATAAGATGATCCTTGTTTTCGGATCCAACATTGACACAATAGCGTGGGACCTTTCCCACAAAAGAAGTCATTCCAGTCAAAAACATCAAAGCAGAGCCACTTGATCACTTGAGAAACCTGGATTTGAGCTCTTTGTTTACATTAAATGGACGGTTTGTGTGAGGTTAGTGTGCTTTTCCTTCTGACGGCTCAGAAACATCACATGTGAGATATCAGACCAGCAATTATACTTCTGCTATACACAAACATACATACTTAAATATTCCTAAAAAACATAATTAACAAATAATTACACTGTATAGAAAAACGACTTAAAGCCAGTTGCTCATGCTACAAATTCTTTGAAGACATTACATTGAAAAAGACAAAAAGAAAAAAAAGGCAATACTAATGACACGGGGCTGTGCTGTGGGAGAGAAGACGTTAAAGCCTCACGTCTTCTGTTAGTCGTCGTAGCATGTGTTGTTTTGGTCCATGCATACACGGACTGAGTCTTGTGAATGTGTAGTTCTGTCTGTCTGGAAAGTGATGGGATATCCAGACAACTGTTGTTGTGTGCTTCATCCAAGTCCAGGTCCTTTGATGTGTTTGTTGAGTGTTTCTTTTTTCTTTTTCTTTTTTTTTTTTTTCTTTTTTTTTTTTAAGGGTGAGATAGCATTCGGATAGCCAAGTTCACGAGTATGTGTGTTTGGAGTTTTATCTGATGAGGTGATAGGTGAGCCAGTACATGAAGATGGGCTGTGCCGCTGCTATAGACATGGTGAGGTACATCCTCAGCTGATTTCTGGCTCCTCTCACCAGCCTCCCCTCCGCTGCCGCCTCAGATAACAGCTTCAGACGGAGAGTGCGGATCTGTGGAGAGAAGATATTCTTAGTTGACAACCAGGCAACACACGTGCACAAAGTAAAAATGAAAAAATAGTTATTTCCACTACTAGCTGCCATTGCTCACTGGGATTACATGTGTTATTTTAGCTACAGCCATTAAATGTCTATAAGTGTGTGGTACAAAAAAAAGTACCAAGTACAAGTGTCCCATACACATTTACAACAAAAAATAAGTTGTAGTAAAATAATGTTTTTCAGGAAGTTGAAGCATTTCTAAAGAGGGAAAATGGACCAATGTCAGCCAACATGAACATCAGCCTATATTGTACCCATGTGATTTCTAAATGTAGCTGACAAAGCATCCTGCAGGAAATCTGGCCATTAAGATTAACACTTAAAACTCTTCTGCTCACCATAAAGACAAAGATGGCAGCACAGCACCACAGTAGAGAGAGATAATATGCTGGTTTCCCAAACATCAGGCCTGCTACTACACCCACAATCATCCTAAAGAAAAAGAAAGATTACACACAGTCACAGGTTAGGTAAAACATCCACAGAGCTTCAGTGTTTCTAAACAAAGAAAAGGAAAAAACTAAAATCCAGAATTTTTTCATGGGAAAAATTTGCCACCAGAGAAGAATAAACAACTGAGCAAAAGCAGAGAGTGAGTCTGTCATGAAAATAAATCTAAACACAAACACAGAAAGATGATGTATACATACCCTACATATTTGTAGCCAGAAAAGGCCAGCAGGTCTATGGTCGTGAGGTCGGTGTTTACGGTCACAAGGTAGAGCGACAGCAGGACTGCCAGGACCTCCATTATTAACCACACCAATGCTGAGCTGGCCTGAACTCCCAGCAGCTCTGGGGAAAACCTGACGGGTGCAAAATAGTACAGTCTCTATAAATAAATATATAGTGAACTCTGTAGTAGCCTCTAGTAGTAATATGTCTGTCATCAGTGTGAGGTGGAAATCTGCTACCTAGCTGTCAAATGATCATCAAGCATTAGATTCACATGTCTTTTCTGAACCACTTTGATAAAAAACGTGGATATGTTGCATATGTACCTGTTCTGTGTACCGAGGGCCAGTCCAGCCACAAGGACATATGTGATGAAGCCCATGGTAGGAATGTAAAGATCAGGAGCGTTCACATCAAAGCGTGGAGCCACAGGAGTGTCCTGCTGGTAGCTCACCTCCCAGTTCTACAACACATATGATCACACCTTTAAAACCTGCTAAATTCAGGGCTGGAAGCATGTAGCATTTCACAGGTAAAGGCCTGAATATTTTATCTACTGTATAACTTTCAAAATATATTGAGTTCACACATTAAAAAAAACATCTCCAAGATCCACAGAAATATGTCTTGTTTATGTGTAAATTTTCAAGACATAGGCAGAAGGGTATATCTGTAGGCTTAGAAATAAAGTATACTGTACGGTCTGGTTTACTTTTTCAAGAAATCTGAACTACAAGAACTTCAGGCAGAGCTAGAGGCACATATTTTCTCATGCATACCATCAACTATACCTCTGCAAAGTGGCAGGCCCGACAGAATAATTTATATTTAGGAGGTGTAAGAAGACTTACCTGGTGCATGTAAGGGAAAACCAGAAGGCCCAGCTTCTTCCCCACGTACACTGTGTCCACAGCAAAGTAGTATTTAAGCTTAGAAATAGGGATGAACCTGTCCAGCTGAAACGAGCAAACACAGAGCCATACACAGATGCATTATTATTTGCATATTTATATGAATATGCAACCATTCAATATGGGAAATATTTTATGTGGCCTTTATTTTTCGTTGTTGTGGAAAGTTAATATTTGTGAGCCAGTCTTACATTCTTGTCCACCATTTCCCTCCCCTGGGATGCCAACGAGCTGCCATACGCCATGGCCAAGTTAGACATGGGGTCTGTCAGGAGGGACTGGCCAGGAAAGCCTGCTGCTTGAGGCCCGCCCTGCTGGTTCCTGCCAACATGTCAAGAAAATGCATCAGCTGAAAGAACACGGTTATTTATGTGCAAAACGAATACAAACTTACTGTATTGTCAAATTTATTGTGAAATTGTGTAAGTTTCTGTTGTAAAATGCCATTTTTGTATCAACTGTTCTTGACTCAGCAGTTTAATATCTGGCAGAGCTCCCACCTGTAGCCTGACTGTGATCCAGACCCAGCTCCACTTGTATCCTCAAACAGCTGGCTGCCATCTGAACCATCCAGGGAACTGTTCCTCAGACGCATATTAGGCTCTGGATGACATGAGAGAATGAAAAGAGATATGTCAAACAAAGGAGTAGATCTGTAAATGCTGAATCACTTTTTAAAATTTTGGCAGATGAATAAAGTTGGCAGAATTAGTAAAGCACGCAAATGCAGCCACACTTAGAGGAAATTCTAAAAAAAAATCGAATGCATCCCTCACCCTTTCAGGTTGTTTAAGAGATATCCAGATTAAGGGATATCTAAGACCAGTCAACCACAAACACTGGCTGCCCTGTGGATGTGCTGATATTTGTCCGATTTTCTGTTAAGTTTCTAACCAATGTTCCATGCAAAGCAGACATGACATGCACAAACACTGTTGAAAAGTTAACACTACTTTGCAATGTGTCAACATTAACTTTGTATTTCTATTTTTTTTTTTAAAACATAGAGACTTCAAATATGCTTTCCTGCATTTGAGATGTATAGCATTAGTGACTGCTGTGCACCACAACACTACAGGCATCCCTACACTACAATGTGAGTGTCCTGTACAATGACTTTGGCAATCTCAAAACACACATCTATTTCAACAAAGTTTGTACACAAACGACAAATTGTGTGTGCAGCCAGCCACATACTGCCCTGTGCAGGAGAAAGAGCTCTTTAAGTCCATTCCCTGAGGAAGTAAATCACTTTATCACGCACTTATCACGAGAACAGATTACATCATCGTGAAGAGCTCCAGACTGTTTTAGTTTGGAGCTAGTTTCCCTATCATCTCTGACGAATCATACAAAGAAAGTATGAGACATTTGATGCTAGGTCCACACACTTTAACATCTTTACAAAGATACTTAAAACATGACACACGATCTGTCAACATGAGTCAAGTGATTTCTGTCTTATAAAACAACATAAGTGTCTGCCTTGACTGTGGTTGATTGCAAGTAAATGTAAGCTTGAATCCGCAGAGTGGGCTTGTTTACATTTTGGTGATGTGCAGATGTCTGTTTAGAGATTCCTGTTCTAGGGATCTGAGGCAACGTTAAATTAAATGTATTATGCGGGTTTGACTTCATCACTAACCCTAAAAAAAAAATCATAAAACGTCCCTAATTGTGGATACGAGGCAAAAATTACGTCTGGCGAACTAAATAATAGTGCCTCTCGCAAACCTCAGACTGAAGCTTGGGAAAAAGAGCTAACATGCGTAACCTTACACATATCTTAATAAATCACCACAGTTTGGCTTAAATTGCCTTTTGAAAACTCCCAGTCACCAGCCACAAACCTCAGCACATTGAGGGGGCATAAATGAGATGTAAAGACGCCGGCAAGTACAAGGATCTATGGTTATCCTGATATAAATTAGCTAGTGTGTTAGCCTTGTTAACTTAGCTCATGCTTATTAATAGCTTGTGGGCAAGCTATCAGCTACTACGTAGTTTTCACAGTTTTCCACATTGGTGGACCTAAATTTCACATTTTGGTGTCTTTACAAGTTGTTTAACATTAGATGCATCCAGTGTTTGAAAACAGCGAGCTAGCATCACGTTTCAGTTTCGTTTACGTTGCACTCCAGAAAGCTAGCGAGCATAAACTGTGCGCATGCAGCCGGTGACAGTAAAAACTGATTCGATCGATAAAGTCACGTACGTAACTTACGCTGTCTGAACCCACTTTGAGTTGCCGTGTAATCCATTAGCGCTAACTTGGTGGTAGCAGCGGTTGTCAGATAAAAAACTCCACCGAGAAGCAGTTGGCACTAGTTCGCAATGTTCTCAGGGAAGTTGGAGTCATTCATAAATTTCACACGGAAGTAAACGCTTCCTTCTTCTTCTTCTTCTTTTCTTCTTTTCTTCTTCTTCGTCTCCTTCTTTCAGGTAGTTTATATTCTTGAAGTTACACTACTGCCTCCCTCTGGAATTACTCTTCCTCAGCCAGTGTCCCTTTCTTTTAAAATAGCATTTTCATTTTTTCACAGTCTCAAAATTTTAATGTATTTTTTACACTGATCTCACCCCGCCCTACACTCTGTAACTGTGTGACCATATCTTGTCTTTCTTTCTGTATGATGATCGTCTCTCTTTCATGACCTCATGCACTGAAGCTTTCGATGTATTCCTACAATAAAATAACATTTTTATGCCTCACTGTACTACGACGTTTTATGCCTGAGTATATTATGACGTTTTTTAAACAATTTTATGCCTTACTGCAGTATGACATTTTTGGAAAATTTTAGCCATACTATATTATGACGTTTTTAGACATTTTTATGAACATTTCAAAAAAAATAATAAAACGTTTGTGCCTTTTATTTGTTGGAATTTTTATGCCTTACTATGCTATGACGTTTTTTGAGGTTTTTATGCCTTACTATACGATGAAGGTTTTGTGCCTTATTGTATGGTTACGTTTGTTGACATTTTTATGCCTTACTATACCATGACATTTTTAAGCATTTTTATGCCTTAGTATACTATGAAGTTTGTTTGTTTTTATACCTTACTTATACTTATACTATTAAGTTTTTGTGCCTTATTATACTGTGACTGTACTGTTTTATGCCATTTTTTGACAATTTTATGCCTTACTATACTATGACGTTTTTTGACATTTAAAAAAAAAATGGTTGGTCCTCTGGTGTGGTCAGAACAACTTGGAGCTAAACACGCTCAAGACTGTGGAGATGACAATGGACTTCAGGATGAGGCCCCCATCACTACCCCCCATCACCATACACAACAACACTGTGTCTGCTGTGGAAACATTCTGTTTTCTGGGATCCACTATCTCCCAGGACCTGAAGTGAACAAGCAACATAGACACCATCATCAAAAAAGCCCAGCAGAGGATGTACCTCCTGCACCAGTTCAGGAAGTTCAACCGGCCTTAGGAGCTGCTGATACACTTCTACACTGCAATAGTCCAGTCTGCTCTCTGCACTTCTATCAATGTCTGGTTTGGTTCAGAAACCAAACAGGACAGATTACAAAGGACAATCAATACAGAGATGATCATTGGCGCTAAATTGCCCCCCATCCTGGACTTACACACCTCCAGAGTGAGGAAACGGGCAGGAAACATCATCACAGATCCATCTCACCCTGGGCACAACCTGTTCCAACTTCTCTGTTGTCGTCGTTGATACAGAACACTGTATGCCTGGACAACCAGACACAAGAACAGTTTCTTTCCACAAGCCATCACTCTGACAAACACTTAAATCGATCCTACAGGAGCAATAGCCTCTGACATCAAATATTGCACAATGTAATATTGCAGATACTTTGATGTTTTTTGACATTTTTTGCCTTGCGATACTATGACATTTTTGAGCCTTACTATACTATGGTGTTTTTTGACATTGTATGCCATACTATAGTATGACGTTTTTTGACACGTTTTGCCTTACTTTACTATGATGTTTATATGCCTTACTATACTATGAGGGTTTTTTTTACCTTTTCATGCCTTACTATGCTATGACGTTTTTTGACATTTTTTGCCTCATTATACTATGACGTTTTCTAAGATGTTTATGCCTTACTATACTATGATGGTTTTTTAAAACATTTTTATGCCTTACTATACTATGACGTTTTCATGCCTTACTATACTATGAGGTTTTTTGCCATTTTTATGCCTTACTATACTACGTTTCCTGACATTTTTTGACTTGCTATACTATGTCTTTTTTTGATGTTTTTATGCCTTACTATACTATGACGTTTTTTTCCATTTTTATGCCTTACTATACTATGATGTTTTTATGCCTGACTATGCTATGACGTTGTTTTGACACTTTTTGCCTTACTATACAATGACATTTTTAGACGTTTTTTGCCTCACTGTACAATGACATCTTTAAGCCTCACTATCCTCTGAGGTATCTAAGACTTACTATAGTATTGCCTACACAAAAGGTTTAGGGTGGTACAGTGGTTACAACTTTTATTCCAAAGGTTGTTGGTTCGAATTGGATCTTTCTGTTTGGAGTTTGTAAATTGTCTCAACCCTTGCATGTTTGCTCTTTAGAATCTACGGCTGCACTATGACATTTTATGCCATAGTATACTATAAAATGTTTGGACAATTATATGGCTTACTATACTATGACGTCTTTTGCCATTTTTATGCCTTACTATACTATGATGTTTATATGCCTTACTATACTATGACATTTTTTGCCATTGTTATGCCTTACTATATTATGATGTTCCTTGAAGTTTTTATGCCTTACTATACTTTGACGTTTTTTGACATTTTTTGCCTTACAATACAATTATATTTGGTGCTTTACCATACTGTGACGTTTTTATGACCTTTTATGCCTTAATATACTATGACGTTTTTTTTATGTTTTTATGCCATAATATACTATAATGTTTTTTGGCATTTATGTACCTTACAATACTATGTGAGTCGCTGCCTTACCATACTCTGACAGTTTTATGACATATTATTCCTTAATATAATGACTTTTTTTTGACATTTTTATACCATACTATACAATGACGTTTTTTGTCATTTTTATGCCTTCCCATACAATTTCATTTGATTCCTTACCATACTATGACATTTTTATAACCTTTTATGCCTTAACATACTATGATGTTTTTTTTTACATTTTATGCCAGACTATACTATGACGTTTTTTGGCATTTTTATGCCTTACTGTACTATGTTGTTTTATTCCTAAACATACTATGGTGTTTTTATGCCATTTTATGCCATAATATACTATTATGTTTTTTTTGACATTTTATGCCACACTATACTATGACATTTTTTGACATTTTTATGCCTTACTATACGATGCCTTTTTTCGGCATTTTTATGCCTTACTGTTCTATGTTTTTATTTCTTACCATACTGTGACGTTTTTATGACATTTTATTCCTTAATATACCATGATGTTTTTTTGACATTTTATGCCATACTATACTATGACGTTTTTTGCATTTTTAAAACTTACTGTACTATGGTGTTTTATTCTTTACAATACTATGCCGTTTTTATGACCTTTTATGCCTTAATATACGATCGTTTTTTGGCATTTTTATGCCTTCCCATACAATTTCGTTTGATTCCTTACCATACTATGACGTTGTTATGACGTTTTATGCCTTCCCATACAATTTCGTTTGATTCCTTACCATACTATGACGTTGTTATGACGTTTTATGCCTTCCCATACAATTTCGTTTGATTCCTTACCATACTATGACGTTGTTATGACGTTTTATGCCTTCCCATACAATTTCGTTTGATTCCTTACCATACTATGACGTTGTTATGACGTTTTATGCCTTCCCATACAATTTCGTTTGATTCCTTACCATACTATGACGTTGTTATGACGTTTTATGCCTTCCCATACAATTTCGTTTGATTCCTTACCATACTATGACGTTGTTATGACGTTTTATGCCTTCCCATACAATTTCGTTTGATTCCTTACCATACTATGACGTTGTTATGACGTTTTATGCCTTCCCATACAATTTCGTTTGATTCCTTACCATACTATGACGTTGTTATGACGTTTTATGCCTTCCCATACAATTTCGTTTGATTCCTTACCATACTATGACGTTGTTATGACGTTTTATGCCTTAATATACCATTATATGTTTTTGACATTTTATGCCATACTATACTATGATGCTTTTTGTCATTTTTATGCCATACTATACAAAGACGTTTTTTGGCATTTTTATGCCTTCCAATACAATTTCATTTGATACCTTACCATAGTATGACGTTTTTATGACCTTTTATGCCTTAATATACGATGATGGTTTTTTGACATTTTATGTCATACTATACTATAACGTTTTTTTGTCATTTTTATGCCATACTATACAATGAAGGTTTTTATGACGTTTTATGCCTTCCCATATTATTTCATTTGATTCCTTACCATACTACGACGTTTTTATGATGTTTTATGCCTTAATATACCATGATGTTTTTTTGAAATTTTATGCCATACTATACTATGACGTTTTTTGACATTTTGGTGCCATACTATACTATGACGTTTTTTGGCATTTTTATGCCTTATTGTACTATGTTGTTTTATTCCTTAACATACTATGACGTTTTTATGACCTTTTATGCCTTAATATACGATGATGCTTTTTTGACATTTTATGCCATTCTATACAATGACGTTTTTTGTAATTTTTATGCCTTCCAATACAATTTCATTTGATTCCTTACCATACTATGACATTTTTATGACGCTTTATGCTTTAATATACGATGATGGTTTTTTGACATTTCTATGCCACACTATACTATGATGTTTTTTGTCATTTATTGCTTGAGTATACTATCAAGTTGACCACCTGTTAAGTTGGCAGGGTAGTAGAGTGGTTAGAAGCGTCAGTTTTTCTTCCAAAGGTTGTGAGATCAAATCCAGCTTGGTACTTTTCTGTGCAGAGTTTGCATAATCGCCGGGCCTTCTTGGGTCCCCTCATTAAGTCTAACTGTATTATGGCATAGTATCAAATGAAATTTTTGGACAATTTTAGGGCTTACAGTACTATCACAATTTTTGATGTTTTTTGACATTTTATGCCATACTATACTATGACGTTTTTTGTCATTTTTATGCCATACTATACTATGACGTTTTTTGTCATTTTTATCCCATACTATACAATGACGTTTTTGGTCATTTTTATGCCTTCCCATACAATTTCATTTGATTCCTTACCATACTATGACGTTTTTATGACCTTTTATGCCATAATATACTAAGATGTTTTTTTGACATTTTTTGCCATACTATACTATGACGTTTTTTGTCAT